CCGAGGCCAGCCCCCCCCCCGCCGTGCTGCGGGGCAGGCAGCTGGGCAGCTGCCGGCTCTGGGCCTAGGGACGCCCCATGCATGGGCAGAATTGCTGCCTCTGCGCTCTGCGGCTGCCCAGGGGGACATGGCCCTGCACAGGTGGGGTGGCACAGCCCCCTCCGGGCCCAGACCCTGGCAGTCGGGACCACCCAGCCAGGCCTTGCGCCCATGTACCCCTTGCTCAGGGCAGACAAGGGTGCTGGGGCAGCACCTGCCCCAGCAGGTGCTCAAGGGAGCAGTGAGTCGCCCCGTGCGCCCAAGTGCCCTGCCTCCAGGCTCGCAGTCTGCCCTTCTCCCCCCACCCCCCCGGGCTGCAGGCTGGCAGGGCTGTGTTGAGAGCAGGGCGGGGGGTGCGAGGCAGGAGAGCCTGGGCCAGGGTCGCAGGGCAAGTGGAGGCTGTGGCCTGGTGGGGCTGGGGGCCAGCCTGGGGCCCGCGAGAGCCCACTGGCAGGCGCCCTCAGCCGCATGCTTGCAGGGGAACTTCGGGGAAGTGTACAGTGGCCGCCTGCGCGCTGACAACACGCCAGTGGCAGTGAAGTCCTGCCGGGAGACCCTCCCACCTGAGCTCAAGGCCAAGTTCCTGCAGGAAGCCAGGTCTGTCCGGCCCGGCTGCTGCACGGGGCTCTCGCAACACCCTGCGGCGGGCTGACACGGGCCGTGCCCCTGGCTGGGGAGGGCAGGGCCAGGGGATGCCAGGGCTGCTCACACAGCTCCCCAGGGCTGGGGTCCTCTCCTGGCGGGGCTGGACGGCTGTGGCTGGTCTGTGCAAGCCCAGCCCTTGGCCGTGGGCGCTCCGGGCCGCCTCTGCCCCTCCCGACAGCACCGTCTTGCCCCGCAGGATCCTGAAGCAGTACAACCACCCGAACATCGTCCGGCTCATCGGCGTCTGCACCCAGAAGCAGCCCATCTACATCGTCATGGAGCTGGTGCAGGGTCAGTCCGGCCCTCTGCCACCTCTTACCATGCCTGGGGGAGCTGTGGGAGCTGGGCCTTGCCCCTCCATGCCACGTTTGCCCCCCGAGCTGACCTGGCTCTGTGCTCCCCCCTCCACACTGGCCTGTGTGGCTCAGCCTCTCCTGCCCCCCTGCCCAGAGGTCCAGTGCCCACAGCCCTCTCTGTGCTTGCCCCAGGTCTGTCCATGCCCACAGGCTGCTGACACGCCAGAGCTGCCCCTGGCCAGGCACCGAGGGCTGGGCTGCATTCCATAGATTTCACAGATTTCATAGATATCAGGGCTGGAAGGGTCCTTGGAAGATCATCGAGTCCAGCCCCAAGGGGCAGGAAGTCAGCTGGGGTCATAGGATCCCAGCAAGATAAGCATCCAATTTACTCTTGAAGGTGTTCAATGTAGATGCTTGAACCACCTCCGATGGCAGGCTGTTCCAGACCTTGGGGGCTCGGACAGTAAAGAAGTTCTTCCTTATGTCCAGCCTGAAACGGTCTTGCAGGAGTTTAAACCTGTTCGACCTCGTCATGTTTGCCTAGGAAATGACCTGCTGGGTGGCACGGAAATGGAAAGGGATCTCGGAGTCCTAGTGGACTCCAAGATGAACATGAGTCGGCAGTGTGAGAAAGCCATCAGAAAAGCCAATGGCACTTTATCGTGCATCAGCAGATGCATGACGAATAGGTCCAAGGAGGTGATACTTCCCCTCTATCGGGCGCTGGTCAGACCGCAGTTGGAGTACTGCGTGCAATTCTGGGCGCCGCACTTCAAGAGGGATGCGGATAACCTGGAGAGGGTCCGGAGAAGGGCCACTCTTATGGTTAAGGGCCTGCAGACCAAGCCCTACGAGGAGAGACTGGGGCACCTGGACCTCTTCAGCCTCCGCAAGAGAAGGTTGAGAGGTGACCTTGTGGCTGCCTATAAGTTCATCACAGGGGCACAGAAGGGAATTGGTGAGGATTTATTCACCAAGG